GCTTACAAGGTCCTGAGGACAGGCTCTGATATGTTTTTGCTTCACTCAGTAACTCAGAATCCAGCTGGGTACAATAAAATATTTCCTACATGCGGGTGGGGGGAACAGACAAACTATGCATCTTCAAAGCTGATTAATTTTCCTTGGATTGCTGTTGGGGGAAGTGGGCCAGTACACAGAAGTCTCAGGCGGTGATCTCTGGCTAAATGCAGCTTCTGTTTTTACAGCTTACTTAGGGAGAGCTGTTAGTTTTTCTAAGCATTCACCAGGCATTGGTTCTCTAAGCTCAATGTTTAGGCTACAAAGCCTATACAACAGCCTTACATAGCTACCTTTAGAAAAGGCATGCTTCTGACCTCAAACTCAGCAGAGTCTCTAGTGTATTTCCATACTTGGGGAACATCGGAGCAAAGCCCTTTGGAGGTAAAAGTGTAACTGGAATGCTAAACGCCAGCTACTACCTCCAAGAAAAATAAACCTTTAACTCTCAGCCAAGTACACCTGCTTGGGATCTGGTTATTAGAGTTATTTGTATCTTTCCTTTTCAAATGGGTGGTTTCACTCAGGGTTTTCTTTCTGCTCAGTGCTTGCTATTTTTGCCTTAAGAAGCCTGAGAGCAGGCCTGGTGCCAGACTTCTGAGGGGCCTCAGGGAAGGGTGATCAGCGGCTTCCCAGGGGTCCATACCTGAACTCCACAAGCTTATATGTTAGAACCGCAGCAGGGTTTAAGGACTGTAGGACAGCCCAGCATATGCTCAGGAGGGCACCATGGGGAAAGGGAGGCGAGCAGGGCGCTTGGAGAAAGCCGGTGATGAACAATGCCAGAGAGGACCCTGTGAGAGTAGGAAGACGGCTCAATACATGACTTTCAGTGGTACCAGTGCCTTCTGCTAGGCGACTCTGCTGGTTATTCTCTCACATACTTCCTGGCCGGCTCCTCTGCCCTGCTATTGGCCCCAGGAGTCTGACCTCTATTGGCCATGTTGCCCGGTTGTCCTTGCCTGTGGGCTTCCAGTTGGATTGGGCCAGTGAGGCAAGATGGTGCAGAAATGGAGGGCCCCAGGACAGAGCCGCAGGGTACTGAGTCCTCGTGCTTCTCCCATGTCCTTTTGGCTTTGTCCCTTACTTCCTCTGTGTTTTCACTGCTCACAGGCAGCCCTTCCACGGCTCAGCTCTCCCCAGGCTCTGCTAACACCTCCTTTGTTCCCTTGGCCCCTTTAGATCCAGGGTGGTAGTGCTTCTCTTGCTAGACTGGCGAAGAGCTAAAAAAAAAAAAAAAAAAAAAAGGCTTAGGGAAGTGAGGTATGATGGTTTAATCGTTCCCTGTGTCACCCTCTTAACCATAGCTCATCGAAAAGGTTCTCCTTCCCATCACCATATTGGAGTTCAGCCATGAGGGTTCCAGGGTTTCTGTGGCAGCTGCTTCCTTCGGGGAAGGCTGCCTTTGGTAGCAAGGGAGCAAACTCCGAATTTGTTTGTTTTATGTTTGCCTTTTCAAGTTGTTGATTTACATTTGCTGACTTTATTAAAGTTATTGATGCTAAACCTAATTCCTGATAGTACCCAAGTTGTTTTGACCTTTAATGAACTAACATGTGCTATAAGTCAAGGCCGAAACTTTTGCTTGGGGTTAGTTATGTTAGTATAATCTGATGTTGACTGAATTAAATCCGCCGCGTGAGAGTCCCTTGGGAAGTGTTCATGCGTGTTCTTCAAGGCCTGAGCATCTTTGGTCTCATCTCTAGAGTGTTATGTCTAGAGCTCAGTTTTCTTCAGACCTGTGTCTGGCAGTAACTCAGCTTTGACTAAAGCTAAGTCACTGGCATTATTTAGGCCTTGAGTGGCTTTTGAACTCTTCTAGGTCTCTATATGTGGCTCTGGGCTAGACCCTAAGGATACTAAATTTTAGACGAGATCTTTTTCTTCTAATGTTCAGAATAATACTTCAATATCATTAATTTATAATTTTTATATACTGCTGTGTGGGTAAAGCTCATAAAAGTGAAAATTTGGGATTGAAAGACATGGAAGTACTTAAGGCTACCTGACATCTAGCAGAATGCCACCAGAAACACATGAGTGATCCTGTTCCCACACTCCCCTTACACACTCTGTTACTTACAGAGTAAGTAACAAATAAGTAAGTAATCTGATTGGTGAAAATTGCATACTATTGTTTTAACTTGTATTTTTGAGGTTATTACTAAGGCTACTTCTTTGGTCCATAATATTTCTCCTCTTGAGAACTGCCGACTTACACATTCTTTAACCAATTGAAAATTTTGAGTATTTATTTTTCATTTATAGAATATTGACCATGTCTGAGGTAAATGTTATAGAATTTTCATCAATTCCATTTGCTATAATGTTATTTTTTAATGCATGAATTTAAAAAGTTTTAACTTTCTGTTTCTACCTTTTATGATTCAGTGCTTACAGGTCTTCACTAGAACAAATCAAAATCTTCCATTCAGTTGGAGTTTATATTTTGATGCATAATATGAACTGAAGATACGACTTTAGTTATTTAGCTTCCAAATACTTAAACCTTTGGGCATGCCCACAATGTCGAGTGCCTCAGATTCTCTTCAGGGAATTGTTTGGACTTTGTTCGACGGTTATACCTCAGCGATGCTGAAGCTGAGAATTCAGTTGAGTCTGCCTTCTCTTGCAGTGTAGTAAACTGGCAGACTCCAAAACTAGATGACAGGAGGGACAACTAGATGAAACCACAGTGTTTCGATGACAGCTTGGGTGATTTTATGCTGTTCTTCTAATTCCCTTATTTTAAAGATGGTGCCAAAAGTATTAGCACTTTCATATGAAGACATTACAATATCAACAATGAGTTTGAACAACCTTTAGATCAATAACTACTCCTGTACTTCCTTCCATTCCTCCCATTCTCTCTCTCCCTCTCTCTACTTCCCTCCCCCAGTTTCTTTGGTAGGAAAGTAGGCCTAGAATAGAGCTTCCTAGTACAGGATTACGAAGTAGGGGAGCATTGTCTAATCTCTGAGCATCAATGCCTTATCTCTAGAATGAAGATAATGATTATACTGGGCCTATAGATTGTACTATTCTATGATACAGATATCTGAATATTTAATTCATGATCTTGGTATACAAAACGTTAATGAATAATATTTAGTTGCCATTTAAATTGTTTCCTGACCTTATTATTATTATTATTATTATTACAGGCAGAGTGGACAGTGAGAGAGAGATAGACAGAGAGAAAGGTCTTCCTTTTGCCGTTGGTTCACCCTCCAATGGCCGCCGTGGCTGATGCGATGGCAGGAGCCAGGTACTTATCCTGGTCTCCCATGGGGTGCAGGGCCCAAGCACTTGGGCCATCTTCCACTGCACTCCCTGGCCACAGCAGAGAGCTGGACTGGAAGAGGGACAGAATCCGGCGCCCCAGCCGGGACTAGAACTCGGTGTGCCAGTGCCGCAAGGTGGAGGATTAGCCTAGTGAGCCGCGGCGCCGGCCTCCTGACCTTATGATATACATATTTCAAGGCCACATTAATCTAAAGCATTTTTTCCAGTTTAGAAACTTGGCCTGTATGTCATTTTTGTATTACACTGAGGATGCTACCAATAACAATTACTTCACAAGCAGTTTGTCTAGTTGCTTATTATTTTAATTAGAACAGAAAAGTGATTTACTCCTGGCCTCAAGGGGCTGCTCCCATTCTAGAGTGGTACTCCTCACTCGCATTCTAGAGTGGTATTTTCTTGGTACTGTTCATGTACTTACCATCATCTCCCTCTCCCAAGATGCCTGCTCTCTGGACTTTCATGGTTAATAGCTTCGTGTGTTTCTTTGTAACATATCAGCTGAGCATGCACCCATATGCATTATAGTTTATGCTGGCCTGATTTTTGAACTTTATGTGATGGAAGAGTGAAGAGAATGTTCCCTTGCATGTGTGGTTTCTTGCTCAATGGCACATTTGTGAAAAATTCATTTATGTTGTTCCCCAAAGCTAAAGTTTGTTCATTTCCTTAATCTATAGTATGCATTTTATGAATATGCCTCAATTTATGAATCTTACTTTTGATGGACTTTGAGTTGCTATGAGTATATGCATGATTCTTGGTGCACATGCGATTGCATATCTGCTGGGAGTGTAATTGTTGGGTCATGGAGTATATACATATTCAGCTTTTTAAAGGAAATTTTTGGAAAATTTATGTATTTATTCATTTGAAAGACAAAGACATACAGAGGGGGATCTTCTATCTGCTGGCTCACTCCCCAAATGCCTGCAACAGCAGGAACTGGACCAGGCCCTAGCCAGGAAGGAGCTCAGAACTCAATCCAGGCCGCCCTTGTGGGTGGCTCCCTTGAGCCATCTCTCCTGCCGCTTCCCAGGGTGTACATTAGCAGGAAGCTGGAATTGGGTGTGGAGCCAGGACTCCAACCCAGATACTTCCATATGGGATGCTGATATCCCAAGTGGTCTTAACCATTGTGCCAAATGCCTGCCCATATATTTAATTTTAATAGATAATGTCAATTATCTTGGATACATCACAAACTCTGAATATAGTTGAATCCGAGATTATGGTAAGAGTTTTCCAGAAGTCTGAAACTCATGGCCTTGATTTCAAGATTCACTTTATGAGAATCCAAGTGGACTTCCAGGAACCACACCCCCTGAAATATACCATTCTCTGGCATGCAGCGCAGACGTATTTCTCTAAGACCCTAACACCAAACAAAAGCCCGCAGGTCTTGCAGTCCAGCATTATTCGTTCAAAAATAGAAAGAACTGGGCGTGCTAAGTAAGCCGTTAGTTCAACTGGGCGACCAATCCAGGAGGCTTCAGTCCGGGAGGCGCTTTGGGACCATCCTCTTCACCGCGGGAGGAGCGAGGCCTCTCAGAACCGGCCGGTGCCTGGAGTTGGAGGCGGCTCCGCCGCGGGCTCCTGGAGGCCCGGGCGCGCGGAGCGGGTGCGGGAGCGGCGCGGAGAGGGCGCGCGGCTTGTTGCTGGGCGACGGAGCGCGTCCTTTCTCTCCTAGAGCGCGCAGATCGCACCCGGCCTCGCCACCCTCCAACGGCCGGTTGGGTATCCGGCCGCGCGGGGGCCCACCCTCGCCACCACCTGAGTGAGAGCAGACGCGTCCCCCAAGCTGGGTGAGAGGAAGACGCGGTCTCGGGCGCGGGTGACTTCGCCTGTGGGAAGGACAGGACGGGGGTATTTGGGGTCCTCTCTCCGGCCTGACTAGTCTGTCCCGGCAGTTCCGGGCCCCGCCAAAATCCGGGCGGGAGGCGGGGCCGGGGGCGAGAAGGGTTTGGAGCCGGAGGAGGGTCTGAGCTGCTGTGGGTTTTGAGGCTCGGGTTTAGGGGTGACTTCACTCCAGAGATGAGCTTGGGGTGAGGAGCGCTGACACGCGTGAACACCTTGTGGAATGGAGAGGCAGCTGTGGAGCAGGCTGTGGGGTCGGGAAGGCAAAAGAGAGGCTGTGGGGAGGGTGAAGGTCACAGCAAAGGGGATGCCGTTTCCCTCTGCGTCTTTTTACAGGCAGCTAGCTTGTTTTGGGGCAAACCTTACCCGCCGTTAGGTGATGCTCCCACTGGGGCCAATGGGCTAATTTGGGAAGAGAGAGCTATTTTCTGAGACTGTCTCCAGATTGAGCTCTCTGGTGAGCAGTGGCACACTCACAAACCCGCAAAGAAACCACTGCTGACTACCGTTGTAGGCGTTTAAAGGAGAACCAAGGGGGCATTTAAAACATGGGAATATGAACGTTTAGAAAATCATTCTTCTCCAGTTTATAACTTTATGGAGGTGTAATTTATATTCAATACAATTTGTACAATGTACAGATGTATAATAAGAGTTCTTAAAAATTATTTATTTGAAAGGCAGAGAGCGAGGCGGTGGGGGGGGGGAGAGGGGAAAGAGAGAGAGAGAAAGAGAGAGAGAGAGAGAGAGAGAGAATCCATCTGCTGGCTCACTTCCCATATGGCCCCAGTGGCCAGGTCTGGGGCATGGCAAAGTTGGAAGCCAGGAACTCTATCTGGATCTCTCATGCTGGTGGCAGGGGCTTGGGCCATTATCTGCTGCTTTCCCAGGTGCATTAGCAGGGAGCTGAATCACAAGTGGGGTAGCTGGGACTGGGGCCAGCACTCCCCTATGGGCAGCTGGCATTAGAAGTGTCAGCTTAACCCACTGTGCCACAATGCTGGACCCTTTGAAACAATTACTGCAATCAATGTAACACTTCCTTTTCTCTGTCCCCTTTACTAATGTTCACTTTCTCTAATAACTCAACCTCCAACCAACCATAGATCTGCTGAGTAACACTATAAAATATGTTGTCTTTTTTAGATTTTTATAGAAAAGGGCGCATAAAACATCAATATGTACTGTTTTGTGGCTGGCTCCTTTTCCTTTGCCAGGACCTTTGCCTTGATTTTCTGTAGCTTAGTTGTTGTACGTTGTGTAATTGGGTAGAGTAAGTCCCCCCCCCCTTTGTGTTTTTTTTTTAAAGTCATTTTAATTTCTGTGTAATTTCTATTAAAAAAATCCTGTTGGAATTTCCCCTGGGATTGTATTGAATCTATAAACCTATTATTTGCAAAGAATTGCCATTTTAATGTTGGCGACTCTTCTAGTGTATGACATAATTTATCTCCATTTACTAATTCTGTTAACAATATTTTGTAATTTTCAGTGTAGAATTTTTGATACCATTTATTAGATTTATTCCTTAGTATTTTATGATTTTTTTGGGGGGAAGTTAAAACTATTTTTTGTAAGTGGAGTTAAAACTATTTTGCAATTATTTACTGCTAGGATATAAAAATACAATTGATTTTTCATATAAATCTTGTGCTATTTTGATATATTCAGCCATTAGTACTAGAAGTTGTTTGGTAGTTTCCTTAGGATTTTAGCCATTTACAAATTAGGGATTTTTCCTTTTCAATCTTTATTCCTTTTATTTCTTTGTCTTGCCATATTGCAATAGCTATGGCCTCCAGTAAAATATTTAAAAGACATGCCTTCTTTCCAACTTGGAGGGAAATCATAAATGTAATGTTAGCAGCAAGGTTTTCTTTCTTTTTTTTTTTTTTTTTTGGTAGATTCTCTTAATCATATTAAGGATATTTCTTCCTTATGACTCATGGTTTGTCTGGGGCTATTTATTTATGTATTTATTTATTGGAGAGGCAGAGTGACAGAGAGGGAATAGACAGAGAAATATCTTTCACCTACTGGTTCACTCTCCAAATGGCCAAAATAGCCCAAGGAGGACCAGGACAAAGCCAGGAGACAGGAACTCCATCCAGGTCTCCCATGTGGGTGGCAGGGACCTGAGTATTTGGCCCGTCTTCTGCTGTTTTCCCAGGTGCATTCTTAGTAAGCTGAACTGGAAGCAGAGTAGCCAGGAATCAGACTGCCACTCTGATATGGGATGCTGGCATTGCAAGTGGTGGCCTAACCCACTGCACCACAATGCCAGCTCTATTTATTTATTTTTATCATGATTAGGTGTTGAATTTTGTAAAATGCTTTCCCACTATGTATTGAAGTGATCCTATATTTTTCTCTCACATTCTGTTAATATTTGAATTATTTTAATTTTTCCAATCAATATAGTTAAGTCAGATTTTTAACTCTAGGATTAAACTCTACTTGGCCAATATTATCTTTTAAAAATTATATTTTTGTATTTGGTTATATTAATTATTTTTGCCTCAATGTCCATGAGAAATATTGGTATATAATTTTCTTTTCCTAAATGCCTTTGTCAGTTTTGGTATTTGGATGATGTATGTATAATAATATGAATGTTCCTTTCTTCTCTATTTTCTGAAACATTTGGGCAAGATTGATGTTATATCTTTCTTGAATATTTGAGAGAACTGTATAGACCTGGAAAGTTTTTCTCATGAGCTTTTAGAAAATTTTTTAAATAAAAGGTTATTCAGATTTTGTTTCTTCACTAATTTTGTTGTTACATTTTTCAGAGACTTTCTCATTTTATCTAAATTGTTAGATTTGTAGGCATAGAATTATCATATTTTCTTATTATATTTTACTGTCTTTAAGTTCTGTAGTGAAAAACCCTCCTTTATTTCTGATATTGTTGGTTTTTGTTCTCTCATTTTTAAGTAGTCTAGGTCAGTTCTATTTTGTTATTTTTGAAAAAAAAATCAGCTTTTTATTAAAAAAAGGATTTGTTTCATTCATTTGGAAGGCAGAGTTACAGAAAGGGGGGGCCCGAGAGAGATCTTCCATCAGCTGGTTCACTCCCCAAATGGCCAGCCACAATGGCTGGAGCTGGGCCAGGCTGAAGCCAGGATCGAGGAACTCCATTTTGGTCTCCTTCATAGTGGCAGGGGCCCAAGTACTTAGGCCATCTTCTACTGCCTTCCCAGCCACATTAGTGGGGAGGTCAATCAGATGTGGAGCAGTAGGACCTCCAACTGGCACTCTGATATGGGAAGCTGGCATCTCAAGTGGTGGATTAATCTGACAATGCCAGCCCCCGATTATTTAATTAGAGCTTTTTGGTATTGTTCCCAGAGGGCTGTGATACTCTGTTTATTTTTCCTAAAATCTTTTCTTCTTATTATTTTGAAAATTGTATTTATATTTAAATAATTGAACAATGCTCAATATTTTCCACATTTACATTATATGAGGATATTATATTCATACACATACATACCATTTTTCTTGAAAGCTAAAATTAATATCACATAATATGGGATTTGGGGCCAGCGCTGTGGTGTAGTCCATAAAGCTGCCACCTGCAGCACCAGCATCCCATATGGACACTGGTTTGAGTCCTAGCTGCTCCACTTCTGATCCAGTTCCTTGCAATCTTGCCTGGGAAATCAGTGGAAGATGACTCAAGTTCTTGGTCCGTTGCACCCACGTAGGAGACCTGGAAAAAGCTCCTGGTCCTGGCTTTAGATCAGCCCAGCTCCAGCCGTTGGGACCATTTGGGGGGTGAAACAGAGGATCGAAGATATTCTCTCTCCCTCTCTGTCTCTCTCTAACTCTGCCTTTCAAATAAATAAATAAATAGATTTTTAAAAAAACATAGAATTCACTGCAATGATGATAGAGAAAAGTATATTATTAAATAGATTATATAACTCAGTGAAAACAACTTTTATAACTATATCAAGTAGTATGACATCTACACATTTTTCAAGCTCTGTATATATTAACTTTTTTTTCTGTCTACTTATATTGGATGGTTTCTATTGATTTTTCTTCCAGCTCACTTATTATTTTCTCTGACATTTCTATTTTGCTAGTCAAATTTTTTATTGAAAATATAAATTTTGGCCGGTGCCGCAGCTCACTTGGCTAATCCTCCTCTTGTGGCGCTGGCATCCCAGGTTCTAGTCCCGGTTGGGGCGCTGAATTCTGTCCTAGTTGCTCCTCTTCCAGTCCAGCTCTTTGCTGAGGCCCGGGAGTGCAGTGGAGGATGGCCCAGGTCCTTGGGCGCTGCACCCGCATGGGAGACCAGGAGGAAGCACCTGGCTCCTGGCTTTGGGTCCGCGCAGTGCGCCCGCTGCATTGGCCATCTGGGGGGTAAACCAACGGAAAAGGAAGACCTTTCTCTCTGTCTCTCTCTCTCACTGTCTAACTCTGCCTGTCAAAAAAAAAAAAAAAAAAGAAAGAAAGAAAATATAAATTTTCAGATATAAAACTCCTATTTAAATTTTTTTTATTTCTCTGCTAAAACTTTTTATATTTTACTCATTTCTAGTATTTTTACCTTTACTTCACTGAGCATAATTATAATAGTTGCTTTATAGTTCTTGTTTAATGACTCCAACATCTGATCATTTCTGGATAGATATCTGTTGATTATCCCTGCCTTTAAGAATGGGTCTTTTTATGCAAAGTATTTTTGGGTCAAATCCTGGACATCATTAATGTTTTGCCACGTAGACTATGAGTTGTGCTGTATCCATTCTGAAGAATGTCGGTGTTTTTCTTTTAGTAAGGAACTCAGTGGATTGGACTCATGGCAAGTTCCACCTCATTCTCTGGAGTTGGCAGTTCAGTTCCACTAAGTCTCAGTTGAGCTTATTAAGCCTTTGCTATGCTGTGATGAGTTTGACCCAGGTACAAATGGTTCAGAGGTCAGTCTGAGACTTGT